GCGAAACAAGTCGTACTTTTACTCGGGCTTCTTTCGAAGAAACAGGAAAATCATTTATACGTTTCTTCTAAAATGCAAAGCCAATGAATGGCTAGAGTGCAAAAGAACAATAGCAGGCAAACTCAGTCAGAAAGCCGTTCATGTTGTGCGGTGCTGTTGAAAGATCGTTAAGCCTCTGGGTGCTATTTTATGAAAGCACACCCACATTCGAAGTTCCGTTTCAAACCACAGATGCATCAGCATTCGCTAGGTCTGTGCCCCTTCGAGTTAGAAATTCGGTAGCGCTCCCTTAATTGTTCTGACACGTATAAATAATGGTAATCCCGTTTGTTGAGACAAAAAAAAAGTTAAAATAAAAATCGTACTTTTCATTCTTCTCTACGCATTAACTTTGATAGCAAAGTTACCAGGGCGTGAATAAAACTGTTTTTGATGTCATTTCCATACGGTTGTAAGCTTATTAAAGCCTTTTTTATATTATCGTTCTTTTTTAAATTGAAATTCTACTCGCTTCGCTGAACGTTTTGTTCTCCAGATATTAGGAAAGTAGGCAATGGTTATATACGCTGTTGTTTTTTTATGGGGGTGGAAATCTCGAGTGGGGTGAAGGTTTCCAGTTGCCCTCTCTCACATTCTAGCAGTAAACCTTAGTTGTCATTGTGCTGTGTAATATCTAAACTCCATTTCTGAAGAATCTACTTACTCAGGTGCAATCAGTTATGATAAGGTATGATAGTTTCTTTCTTTCGTTTAAAGTCAAAATTAAATTTCGTACGCCATCCGGATTATGACACAGTATAGTCTGGTAGGTGGTTGTCGACGTTTCGGAAGAAATATAATGTAAATCTACCCTGAAAGTGAATTCAGTATTATTTCCCGAAACGTCGGTAAACACCTATACGGTGCCATAACCCACAAGATCACATTATGAATAGTCTCCGTCCCGAAAATTTCAAACCCATTTCATACTTGACGTCCATATGCCGACGCATGAAGAATTCAGTTCTTTATTTTGCATACACCGTAGACGTTGATGCTCATTCACGATACAGAAGCATATCTCCCTACGTGAGGGATCAGGATACTTTTTATTCGAGGACAAAATTGGGTTGTTTTTAAGTGGTCGAAAGACCGTGAAGCCTGCGAGACGAATTCTGTGGTACAAAAATTGTTGAAATGGTATCGCATTGAGTAAAAATACCTTTTGAATATGAATCAAAACAAATAACATTATCGATTCTAATATGACATAAAATTTTTCGGGGGAAATCTCACACAGATAATAATCGCATACAACAGAATCTGTAGATATTTCCTTCTTCGGTTCATTTTCCAGTCGACTAGTTAGTCATGAGGATATCAGATAAGTGATTAATAAGATTTTGTGCTTATGCTTACGGATCCATATAAAGTTCTAACAACCTTCATTCGAGTATGTAATAATGTTGGCCGCGGCATAGCTCAAGCGGTTAGTCGCTGGCTTCCTACCGAGGCGGCCCGGGGTCGATCCCGGGTCTGGTCAAGTGGGATTTGTGGTGGACAATGTGGCGCTGGGGCATGTTTTTCTCCGAGTACTTCGGTTTCCCCTGCCAATCTTCATTCCACCAAATTCTCCATCATCATAACCACCCGGGGCAGGCTACAATAGGCCAATCAGTGGCCGCCGTGCCGAGTGGACCCAGTTGGACTCCACCCCCAAGTAAGCGAATTAAAAAAATAACTGTAATAATATTAGTACCGGGCCTTACGGTAATATGTCTCTTCACCGCACTTCCTGTACAGGACTACATACGTAGGTGCCGAAAGTACAGTCCGCTTCGCATGAGGTGACAAAACAAACGTTTTGATAAATCCCTGTCTGAAAATGTTATTCACATGGAAATTCCAAGGTGCAGTATTATTCTCCGCTGCAGTTGATCTCATTGTCACCACATTTAAGTCGATTTCTCATTCAGTCGCTTTCAAGAACAGAAGTCTTTCCCCTCCAGATCCATTCAATCTGTTCTATTCTTCAAGTTTCCTTCCCCAAAACTACAATTTATACCACTCTCTATCGAGGGGAAGAAATATGATTGATAGTCCATGTTTCATTTTTACAGACTTGGTCATAAGATGGCGTTGATATCGAATCGATTATTACATCATTTGATGTAAAATGGATTTCAGATTGAAGCTTGGGTGGCCATTTAGAGTAGAGGGCTAAAGGGACTGCGGAAATGATGAAGGAAGGTATTGTTTGAAAACGTTTTGTCGGCCAGTGATTGCTGACAAATGTTGACTGATGGGAATGGAAACACCAGTAGGCATACGTACACTAGTATTGCTATAGGGACAGCTGTACCACGTCAATACATGAAGCAGGACTTGAAAACGGGTCAGAACCAACAATAAAATTGTGCTTTTGCGACAGTTTGCTCAGGAGAAAGCATAGAAAGACGTACTGTAATGGAGATGCATACTTTCCACACGCATTCCTTGCGGTTTTATATACGTTAATGGCCTTGATGTTCATTCATTCCAAATACAAGTCTATGTTACAAAGTTAATCGCACTGAACAGTCAGAAAATATCTCATAAAATTTTAGAAATATCGAAAAATGTATCAAATAATAATTATTGATTTTAATAACATATGTATTTCATCTCATCTGCGAGTCTTTTACATGGCAAGAGAAACCCAATAAAATTTCTATGTTAGCCTCATGAAAATAAATGGCAAAGTAACACGGATAATAAAGTGGCCTCCGTAGTCTAGAGGTAACGTTCCCACCTCATGACTCGTAGTACGCGGGTTCAAATACCCGGCGGAGGTCGTCGAATTTTTAAGGGCGGAAAAATTCAGGGAACAAGTCCTCCGGGAGGGACTTTAAGCCGTGGGTCCCGTGTCGTAGCTTTACGGCACGTAAAAGAACTTCATGTCTCTAGGAGACCTCTGAGCAAAATTAGGCCAAGTTTCCCGCCCAACTAGTTTCCAATTCCTCCGGTAGATGGGGGAAGTATCAGGTACCACTGCCAGAGGAGGGGGGACCTCTCTGACAGAAAGGGACTAAAGTATTAGATACCACTGCCAAGTAGAGGGTAGAAACCTTGCTAGCAGAAAGGGACTAGGAACCCCTGCCAGAGGAGGGACGACCTCGCTGACAGAAAGGGACTAACTATTAGATACCACTGCCAGTAAGAGGTTGGGACCTCGCTGGCAGAAGGGGGCTGATAGTAAGCACCAGTACCGGTAGGGTATGGAGACAGTAGAAATTAAAGGGGGACGCACAATGGACAAGTAATCGGTCAAAGTGCATGGGGAAACCCACCCCCTCAATACGGAACACGGAACACGGATAATAATCAAGGCTAGCATCATTACACAACTCTGAGAGCAGATTCCCGATACCAAATGTCATCAGAATCCACTCGGTGATTTCGGAAATTGAAACTTGCGAACAGACAGACAAACATGACCTTCATTCCATGATAAGGATATGTAATAATATAAAGTGATACAGTCTCTCTCTATGCGACGTTTCCAAGCAGTAGGCCTATGTTAAATTAACGTGTAATATTCATCTGCATGATAGTTCTCTAGAACACTTTCTGAACTATTTCCCTTAGACAGTTTACAAGATTTCCCCCCCAGGAACGTCTCTGTCTCCTACATGACGTTTTCTCTTGAGGGCTTTCAAATATAGTTCTATTGATTTATTGTATCCCATGCTACATGTTTCGCCCATCTCATTCTTCTTCGTTTGATTTTCATAACAATATTAAACTACGAAAAAAATGATCATGTTTACTGCATGATCTTGGAAACAGATTAACTGTATATGTGCTCTTTGAGTTTCAAAGTGATCATTTCCTCGTAAGGGTTAGATAACATAATGAACACACCGGTTCAATATCTATTCAACCTCCACTTTCTCATCTATCACACTCTTCGCTCTACAAGTAAGCAACTGCGTACTCTCTTCGATCACCGTCCACCTTCTTCAGTCACTTTATCTACATGGGCCTCACACTCGTCCCTGTACTCGTGCAGTATACAGCTTTAATGGATTCTGTCTTCCAGCCTACTCCGATAAAGCAGTGACTACGAAATTATGAAGACGGTATTTAGAAATTTGGTAGGAATCCGAACGGAGATCAACCAATAGCAACAGTTTTCTTTGCCTACATAGGGAAACATAACACAGCAAACCTCGAATATATATCGAAATCTCAGAGGGATTCCCGCGATCCTCTTGATCAAACGATAGAAGGCTGCAGGCTTTACAGGCCGCGCGGATGACCTAATCTTCACATAGCAGTTATTCTCACATACCTCAGCAGCCCTTTCATTTTTGTTCAATCGTGTAATTTTTTCATACCTTTATTAATCTGCAGAATCTTCCCGTCTAGAAAACCGAAATTAACGGCCGTGGGAATTTGTTGCGCTGGTCACGTGACACCCTCTATTCGCTAAAGTTGGCACTAACTTCACCGACAAGTGGCGGTCGCTCGGTCGGTATAGTTCGCTTGCGGACTCAAGCCACGGAGTAATCTTCTGAATCTGCAATAAATGTATATGTTCAATAAGTACTGGCTCGTGAATGAGTTATGCCCAGTGGTGTAACTCATATATATATATTTTTCCCCCTTGTTCACTTATGCATAATTTTAATTCATTTATTGGAATTTTATTCAGGTCTGCCTGGTAGAGTTAGGACGGTGTATCTTTTCAGTCTATGTGCAGTTTCGCTATTGTCTAGTAGGCTCACTGCTAGTGCATTAGTGTGGTTTTCTAATTTTCTTACGTATTTGGTATTCCACTTTCTTATTTCACTGAGTATTATGTTCATTTGTAGATCTTCATGGATCTTGTGGTTACACCTGTATTTGTATAACGAAAGGTCTTCATAGACCTTATTTCTACCATTTCTAATGCTCTTTTCTGTCACCCCACGTCACTGTGTCACTGTCGTATTTACAATGTCATCTTACTTCAGGTATGAACATTTTTCTTGTTTCAGGTGAAGATATGGTTCCAAAATCGTCGCATGAAATGGCGGAATTCAAAAGAGCGCGAACTGTTGGCCAGCGGTGGGTCACGTGAACAAACTCTACCCAATAAAAACAATCCAAATCCCGATTTAAGCGACGCAGAAGGCGACAGGCCTAAGATAGACCTTTCAGACCTTTCACCTCTAACCTCTCCAGAACTGCCGCCGCATCACGGATCACACAAAGTCGGGCAACATGATGATGACGTTATGTTGGACCACGATGGGCAGTTGCTCGTGTTGGACACTTCACCTGACGAGAAGCAACTGTTGCGTCATCATGAACAGGACTTGGACGAAGATTCGGGTGGGGAAGACGAGGAAGAAGACGAAGAGGAAATTAATGTCACGTGACAAGAAGAATGAGTTCACAGGATGTTGGCGATAGTTAAATAGCGACGGAGTCGCGTGGCAAGATGGCGGAGTGGAGTCATCGTATGAAGATGTCGTTGACGGGATGGTGGGGTGCATTGGATATTTGGTGTACTTCCATGGACTCGATGCTGTTTGGAGACGAGTTGAGGAATTGTGCAGCAACGTGACTGTACCTCGATAATGTGGCTCTCGGCCTCCATATGCACTTTTAGCCCTGTGAAGTTAATTCTTCACAGCAACAATCAAATAAATTGACGAGTGACAGTTGTGCTGTCACGTGAATAAAACTAAATCGATCAGCGTCAATCAGAATGTGTTATCGGAACTTTAAGCTTCCTCTAACAAGTGCATTAAGTTGCATAAGTACAAGATGTTAGCTTTGGTACACCGAAGTGTATTGAGATGTGAAGGTTGAATGTGGAGGCTGCAGGCTCTTCCGAAAAGTTGGTAACATTCTAACAGAATTGAGAGTGTCATATTCCAGAAGACGGTAATCTCCAGTGAAATGTATTGATAGCAAAGACAAAATTTAACAGGAATAAATACATGGAAATAAATAATATAACAGTAATAAATATGTCTATTGGTACCGTAACTAATAATTATTTCGGTTACGCACATTTTCAATATTACACTACATGACAGATTCCAGAGGAATGGTCTAGAAACATGGTACCCTTACAACTCTGTCTCTCTCTTGAACACCAAACCTCCCGATATGATTCCAGCTTTACATCTAGACTAATTACAGACTGACTCATGGAGCTGAGCCCTTCTTGAGGAGAAGCCAATTCTGCAGCTACTCAAGAATTTCCCAGAATTTTGTGGAACCCGAAGGTTTATTACCGTGTTCACAAGAGCCCTCCACTGATCCATATCCTGAGCCAGATCAATCCGATCCATACTATCCCATCCTGTCTCTTTAAGATCCATTTTAATATTGTTCACCCACCTACGCCTTGGTCTTCCGAGTGGTCTTATTCCTTCTGGCTTCCCACCAATATCCTATATGCATTCCTTTTCTCTCTCATTCGTGCTACATGCCCTGCCAACCTCATCCTCCTTGACTTGATCATTGTAATTATACTTGGAGAAGAGTACACGTTATGAAGCTCCTCATTATGCAGTTTTCTCCAACATCCTGTCACGTCATCTCTCTTCAGTCCAAATATTCTCCTCAACACCCTCAGTCTATGTTCCTCCCTTAATGTCAGAGACCAAGTTTCACACCCATACAGAACCACAGGCAAAATTATAGTTTTTTATATTCTAATTTTTATGTTTTTGGACAGCAGACGAGAAGACAAAAGGTTCTGGACTGAATGGTAGCAACATCTAGACTAATACCTATCTTAATCCGTCTGACGTCAATGTGGTACCCACACTGGGTCCAATTTATCTGTTTATATTTTAAAACCTGTCTGCAGAATATGTATTTCTTAACACCGCACTGACTCCGACATTGAATCCATTCGAATTTCAATTATACGGACGCATGAAAACTGTTAAGCCAGTTCCAAAGTACACCTACTTACTGACACGAATATTGGACCGGATTATGATATTCTGAAACGTCCGGCCGCGACTGAAAGAGCGCCTGAAACTCCAGTGTCAATTCGGAACTGCACCCAAAAAGAGAAGGAGCCGGGATAGCCAGTCGGCTACGGGTTAGACTACTGAGGGGTTGGAGTTCGAGTCCCGGTAGGGACAAGAATTTTCTCTTCTCCAAATCGTCCAGACCGGTTCTGGTGTCCCCATAACCTCCTATCCAACAGGTGCCGGGAGCTCTTTCCCAGGGGGTAAAGCGGCCGGGGCGTGAGGCTGACCACTCACCTCCAGCTAGTGCCGAGGTCAAGAAAATGTGCATCTATATATCCACTCCCCCACACGTCTTCATGGCGTAGTGCTTAATTAGTTAAGCACAGGGACAGCTTTACCTTACCCACAAAGAGAATGAATGAGTTCCCTTTTGTTTGCACAAAAGATGACAATTATTTCTGCAGTAATCTATCAAGTAAGTTAATGTAATCAGTAATGGCTACAAATTTATAGGCTTTTCCGGAGGTACTCGTTTCGAATGAGAATTATGCTATCGGCTATCCTGATGCAAGGTTTGCGTGCCTTTCCTCAGGTGCCACAGCGAATCCGGGATAATGCCTTGAAACAAGTTCTGACCACCTCCAGAGGCGAAGTTAATCTTCCCATCTAGCTTCATAATCTCTGTAGCTGAAAGCATGGTTGAACAACCCAATCATTCTGATATATATTTACCCACCGAATAATTTTATGGGTTTCGTTCTTTTCTTTTAGAATAAACAAACATTTGTTTTCGCAACTACATTTAGACTAACTGGATAATCTGGGTGATACAGTGAAGTCACCATATAGGCTTCCGTGTAAAGCTGCGAGGTAGGCAATAACAAATACTAGTCACTTTCTAGTCGTTGCTTCAGAGTGGATTAAAGAAAATTACGTATAACGCGTCTGGCTGGCATTCGGGAAATAAGAGGTCCATTATTCCTGCAAGGGAACGGTTACTATGGCTTCCCCGGGACAATGACAATCACACTACTACATTTCAGTTCACGCTGCTAAAAGCCCAGCCGTAAAATGCTTTCTTTCTATAGCCCGAATTATTTTAAATATAAACATCCTTCGAGTCTCATTTGGTTTGTTTCGTGGTTCATTTAAAGACGTCAATATGTCAAGATCATACAGTGCGTTTTCAGCTTTCCTGAAAATATATCGATGACTTTCCACGGCCTGTGAAAGCTAATACTGAGATAACAGCTTGGAATATACCATGATTACTTTCTTCCAAATTCTTATAAACCTACATTCCTAAGCTACCCATTTCATTTGAAACGTTTAAAACTGTGTAGTAGAAACAGCGTCGTTAAATAACACAAGCGTCAATCATTATTGTACAAGGACGGGAGAACCCAACGGCAAACAAGAACCCCTGTGGCACATCATTCTTTCCGTGAGCTTGGCCGCAGTAGTGTTCCACGCTACACAGTGTCTCACCAGCCTGATGTTACACCGTAAATACACATACAAAATGCTCGAGTACAAAATGCTCGATGCCACTGACCTATACACGTACATTGTACATTGCACGAACTTCACAAAAGGAGGAAATAAAAATGTATCATAACTTGTAATCTTGTAAATGTGCTGTACAGTATTTATTATGTTCCTTATCAGCTCTTAACCAGCAAGCATAAGTATTATTATTATTATTAGAGTGGGTGGGTTTCCCCATGCACTTAGACCAGTTATTGGTCCATTGTGCGCCCCCCTTTAATTTCTACTGTCGCCATACCCTACCGGTACCGGTATCAGCCCCGTTCAACCAACGACGTCGGCCGTCGGTACCTCGATACTTCCCCCATCTACCAGAGGCATTGGAAACTACTTGGGCGGGAAACTTGCTTAATAATTTTTCTCAGAGATCTCCTAGAGACATGAGGATCTTTTACGTGCCGTAAATCTACGACACGGGACCTACGGCTTAAAGTCCCTCCCGGAGGACTTGTTCCCTGAATTTTTCCGCCCTTAAAAATTCCACGACCTCCACCTTGAGTCATGAGGTGGGAACGTTACTCCTAGACTACGGAGGCCGCTTAAGGGTAAGTAGGTCTACTTGGATGCTTCAGGGCAGAAGCAGCAAGCAGCGGCTCTGTATGCAACTGAAGTCCACAGCTTAGAATCGGTTAAGATCATATTCGGACACACGTGGGGAGGCCGTGTCTGACCGTCGGCATATACGAACTACTGAACGGACTTCTGCATTAGCTACACTAACACTGTCATTCTCAAATTCAAGGATCAGGCTGATGGCCTGTTCCGGCTTCTATAAATTCCATCTTCTTCGTCGTATACACAAACCAGCCTGTTTCGGGTCTCGCCCTTCTTCCCTCTTTATACTAATATCTGTCAAATTAATTTAATTTTGGAGTATACTGATTACATAGGTCTTCGGTGCGTAAACCATGTTTTACATGAAGCTGGAATCTCAGATGCATTTCAGAGTATTAAGAATTAGAAATTTTCTCAACTTCCATGTTGGCATTGTCGTCAACAGACAATACGAGTACAAGTGTGAAGAAGCATGAAACAACATTCATATCGAATTTCATGAAAACAGGTTAAATTTTAATTCGCCTGATAGCTATATGGATATCTGCCCGAGAACAGATGAACATTAGCATAGATAAGCATAAAAGTGCCGAATGAAACATGATAGATAGACCAGAAGAAGAGAATGAAAGTTTAACAACATACGGTAAAAAACTAATATTTTATGTATATTTTACAGAAGATACATTTTTAGATACATTATGGATCCTTTTTCTTTCGCGTAATACTCGCGGCTTTAGAAGCCACAAACAATGAAAAATGAATATTTTACCAATTAAAAGATATTCCGTTTACAAATCCTCTACTCTTAATTTTTATCTTTATTTTGAACTAACCTTTTCCTACTTCCTTTCAACCACTTGATTCTCATTTGTTCTTGCAAGATGGTGTCGTAAGCACACGACGCCATTTTCATATCTATGAAATTATGGCCGTCACATTTGCATGCTAAATCCATCTGTTATTTCATAACGACTATAACGACCTCCTGAACGCCGCAGCTGTTAGAATATAAACGCAGAGCGTCCCTCTTTTGTTTTTTAATAATACAGCCGAGTGGAAGAGAAGTAAGGCGGAAGATTATGCCTCATGAAATGTACTTTTAGAGTCATCAAGGCAGCGATCTATAAAAAAGTAGTTTATGGACTTTATAGGAGTCATAATAAATTTCGTTGAGTCTCTGATTGATGCTCTATACAGCGAAGGAGACCGTTTGGTATTCTCTCTGAAAGCTTTATTGGATTAGCAGGTGGAATAATGTTATAACGAATATAGCTGTCGTCGGGACACAGATCCTGGTTTGTTCGGCACAGACTCGCAGTTTCGGGAACGCAGGGCATGAAGCAACTATCTGAACTACATTTGCTGAATTTTGTAATACAGGCCTGAAGTGCATTTTTCTAATGCACTCACAAAAAGACAAATGCAAAGATCTGCGAATTAAATTGTTCGTATGCGTTCTTCGGATCTTTGGTAAGAAACGGAAATACCACAGATGCATCAGCATTCACTACGTCTGTACCCCTTCGAGTTAGAAATTCAGTAGCGCTCCCTTAATTGTTCTGACACGTATAATAGTAATTATAGCGTGGTATGTATTTCCGTCCTCCGAAATATTTCATTTCCCGAACAACCTGATAACTTTTGATAAATTACTGTTCCAACGTCTATACTAAAAGTTGTAGGGCGTCATTTCGGTTGTATCAGTTAGACACAACTGTTGGAAGAATCGCAAACATAGATTCATCAAATTGTCAAAAATGTTTCATAGAAAACAAAATAAAGAAAATGGAAAATACTGAATATTTTTTAAGATTTGAGGTTTTCACGGAGGTGATTATAAAGAAAGCCGTCTTCTTGGATGTGGCACCGTGTAGATATTGTGTTAACAGACGTTTCGGAGGAACGTATGGCCCCCATCTTCAGAGTAGAAGAAAGAAGAAAATCCGCGAGCGAGGAACCAGCGTGAGCAGATGCTCAGAGTCAAAGCCAAAGTCACATTGCGACTGACGGTCAGTCAGTCAGTCAGTAAGTCTTGGTTTCGAGCCTCATGTGGGGCTCATGCCCAGATATTTATTACTGTTTGACAGCTACGGTCTTGTTTCTGTGGGGCTCCTTCTCTGACAAGAGGACCGGTCTGTCTTTTGTATATGCTACTGGCCCTTGCCAGCTCAGGCTTTCTCAGGTCCGAGTCCCTTGGTACTCGCGACCATGTTTTACTGTCTCAGATTTGGGACTTCTTTTTCGTCGCCTCCTACGC